AATTCACAGTAGAAGAGGCTACTATGTTCATAACCTAAATAATTGTTTTTTAGTTTTAATACTTAGATGGCTAGATTTTTTTTTTTTTTTTGCTGTGGTTTGACCAGACAGAGGTTTGAAGCAGGAATTTTGAAGGGTATGTTCATTTCTAATCTGCATTGATGGACATATTCTTTAGCTGGTTCTGAGGCTTGCGTGGTGCATAGTGGAGAAGAACTGGAAATCTGACCAATTCTGCCACAGCGTATATGTATGCAGGGGAGATAACATAGTTTCTCTCTCCTCAATTATAGCTTTTGACATAAGTGTTTGCATGCAAACATGTAAGTCTAGAAGTGCAGGCAAATGATGAAGGCTCAGCCTTGCTTGTTTTGATACAGTGCACCAAGTCCAGAGGCATTTAAAACCACTTCACTAACTCCTCTTCTCTGTGTCCTTCCTGCTCCCAGCTTCAGCACACAGTGAGCGATGAGATCTGCATGCAGGTGACAGAGCTTTACCTTTCGGAGAATAGCAACAGAGCTGCCGGAGGCCTGCTGTCGTCACAGTCATCTCAGGCTCTTGTGAAGGCCACGTACCAGCGCAAAGCCGAGCAGCCCATGTCAGAGAACTGTTTCAAGGTAAAAACCATATCTGCCTGCAGTGACGCTTGGAGGAGGACTCCTGGAGGAACTTGCTGAGAGAGGAGGGGAAGTACGAAGGCTCGCTGAGAAAGGAGAATGGGCTCACCTTTTCATTTTACGTAACTATCCAAATATCCCAAGGACCTCTGGACACCTGTGTGCTCCGCAGCTGTCATAGAGCTTGACAGGGTGACCTGATTGTGCATTCTAGCCTGGTGGAGCTGCCGTGTACCTGCTCTGTGACATCCCAATTTCGAGCAAACTCTGTGGGTAACAGAGAGATTTTGTCTGATCGTTAATAAAATACCAACCGTTCACTGCAGCAATTCATGCTTTTTTCTTCCAACTCTCTTTAAGTATGTCATGGTTCTCTATCCAGGAATTCTCTTCTGCCCCTATATGTAGAATAATTTCTTTATCCTTTTACCCTCTGTTAGATTAGCTCCTTAGTGATCTAGAACTTTCCACTCATTGTCAAAACTCCTTCTGTGTTCAGATTGTGTAACTGGGGCTAGTATCCCCCGCCCCGTTGTTCCCAGCAAAGTGGAAGGCACAGTATTATGCTGGAGAGTTGCATAAAGTTTATTGGATTTATTTTTCTGAATAATTTGTTACTAAGTCTCCTTCCGCATTCTGCTTTGTAGCTGATGTTCATTCAGAGCAGAGGCCAGGTCCAATTAACTATCGAGCTGCTGGACACCAAAGAGGAGAACTCGGATGACCCCATAGAGGCAGAGGTAAGAGCCGATTGTTCTCAGAGTTCAGCTGCAGCTATTAAGCATGTAAGGTTTAAACGGGGGTATAACTGGATGAAGATGGCAGAGTTGTCAGTGTTTCAGATGCTGTAGTTTATGACCTGCTTCTAGTCCTACAGGACACATTGATTGTGTGACATAGTGCACTCAGTGAATTGGGTTGAACAAGCCTTGTTGGCATCTCTTATTAAGAATTTCAAAAACCAGACAGTGCAGGTGCATATAGGGGGAGGGATAGCTCAGTGGTTTGAGCATTGGCCTGCTAAACCCAGGGTTGTGAGTTCAGTCCTTGAGGGGGCCACTTAAGGATCTGGGGCAACAATCAGTCCTTGGTCCTGCTAGTGAAGGCAGGGGGCTGGACTCGATGACCTTTCAGGGTCCCTTCCAGTTCTATGATCTAGGTATATCCATCCATGGGGGGAGAGTGAGTGGGACCTGTGTGAAATATATGGAGTCTCCAAAGGTTGCTTTTCTTTCATCCACTTCCAACCAAACCCCTTCAGAGTTGGGTTTGATTTGGCAGATGTTGGTTAACCCCTTGTGTTCTGTGCCCAATTTCAGCATTGGTCAGACTACGTAGAGCGGTACGTCAGCTCTGATTCTACCTCTCCCGAACTTCGGGAACACCTGGCCCAGAAGCCGGTTTTCCTGCCAAGGTGAGTGAACAAGCTGTGGCTGTGAAAAGTGACACACAGACCACAAGTACCCATGTCAGCAGAGGGAGAAAATCTTACTCTGTCATAGTATTGGCTATTGCAGTCTCTTGTTTGTTTTTAGTACTCTGTCACTTTAGAACACATTAACCTGGGAGTAGCATATAGAGACACAGTGCTGCTGTTTATTCCAAGAGCCCACCCTGGGCTCCTACTCTCCAGTGACTGAGAGAGAGCATAGTCCACAGGCTGCAGAAAGGACAGAGGTTTAGGGAGTCACCAGCCCCGGTTTTTTTTTGGCAATCATGCCTTTGCTTACAATAGCCCTCCAGCTGAGTGCGGAAGGTGCTGAGTCAGTGCTTTTCGCTAGCAGGAAGTTGGTTGCAAAACAGCTTTGAAAGGCCCTCACTCTCTGTAAACAGCTGAGATCAGTGGGTTGGCTTATGGTAGACACATGCGCCTAACCGACTTTAATTTGTGACCATTCCACTTCGAGCAATACTTTGGGTTCCGAAGGGCTGGCCTGGAGCCACCAGATATGCCCAGCCTAGTGGACAGAGGATGAGCACTAATCCCAGCAGGGATTCTCTGGTTTACAGAAACCTGAGGCGGATCCGTAAGTGTCAGCGTGGTCGGGAGCAGCAGGAGAAGGAAGGGAAGGAGGGAAACAGTAAGAAGTCCATGGAGAATGTGGAGAGCTTGGACAAGCTGGAGTGTAAATTCAAACTGAACTCCTATAAGATGGTGCACGTCAGGGGTCGGCAACCTCTGGCATGCGGCTCGCCAGGGTAAGCACCTTGGGGCCGGGCCAGTTTGTTTACCTGCTGCGTCGGCAGGTTCGGCGGATCGCGGCTCCCACTGGCCGTGGTTCGCCGTCCCAGGACAATGGGGGCTGTGGGAAGTGGCACGGGCCAAGGTATGTGCTGGCCCCGGCTTCCCGCTGCCCCCATTGGCCTGGAGCGGCGAACCGCGGCCAGCGAGAGCCGCCATCGGCCAAACCTGCCGACGCAGCAGGTAAACAAACTGGCCCGGCC